ATGACAACGGGCGATGACCAGCTCTGTGGCTGGACTGAGAAGAAGCTCCAAAGCACTTCCCAAAGTCGAACATGTGCCAGAAAAAGATCATGGTCACTGTTTGGTGGTCTCCTGCTGGTCTGATCCACTACAGCTTTCTGAATCCTGGCGAAACCATGACAACTGAGAAGTATGCTTAGCAATTTGATAAGATGCATTGAAAACTGCAGCCAGCTTTGGTCAACAGAAAGGACCCAATTCTTCTCTACGACCACGCCTGACCACATGTTGCACAACCTAAGGCTTTAAAAGTTGAACAAATTGGGCTGCAAAGTTTTGCCTCCTCTGCCATATTCACCTGACCTCATGCCTCTCACTTAGAAGACTACATTTTTACACTGATTCACAAACAGGATTTTTTTGAAAAATGGATTTTAAACCATCAGAACTAGACTAAGTTCTTAGCAACCAGTATTTTTATCAGAAACAGCCACTTGCAACTGCTGGTTCTTATATACAAAAAGTGCTGCTAATGACTGAACCAATACAGTGAATAGGATTTACAATCTTCCCCTAAGTCTTTCTTCTCCAGTGGATGTTGATAATAGGGCAAATAAAATACTTGATTTAGATACATTTTAGTGCTTCCATCTATCACTCCATGAGTAGATAGATGGGACCAGAATCAATGGCAAATCACCTCACTCTGTTCTATTTATATTTCCTCATGGCTCTTGAGTTTGTAAAAATCAAAATTTGCCTAGAAAAATTGAACACATAAGACACAGCACTTCATGTGGTCAAGAGGTTTCTAGGCTGTCTCTCCCTAGAAAAGCATTAGAGAAGCAATGTTACTGTATTAGTCCATTTTCACGCTGCAGATAAAGACATACCCAAGACTGGGCAATTTACAAAAGAAAGAGATTTAATGGACTCACAGTTCCACGTGACTGGGGAGGCCTCACAATCATAGTGGAAGGTGAAAGGCATGTCTCACATGGCGGCAGACAAGAGAAGAGAGCTTGTGCAGGGAAACTCCCCTTTTTAAAACTATCAGATCTTGTGAGAGTTAGTCACTATCACAAGAACAGTGGAGGACAGACCTGCCCCCATGATTCAAGTACCTCCCACTGGGTCCCTCCTACAACACGTGGGAATTCAAGATGAGATTTAGGTGGGACACAATCAAACCATGTCAGTCACCATTCTCCAAGCCTCAGAGATACTACATCCTCTCTTACCAACAGACACCTTCATCTATATTGGTCCTGCTTGCATCACTTCTCTGCCTGGACAATCTCCATGCACTCTTTAGGTCTTAATGTTCAGTTGGTTTGAGACACTTCCAATCACCCAAGTTTGAGTTTAGCGAGCTGCTTCCCAGACTTTAACATCATTACATACTTAATTGTACACCTCTACCAAGCATATGCAAATGTGGTGAGGGTAGGTCCATGTCTCAATGCCTAGCTTCATGGTGTACTGAGATTAGGTACTCAGTAACTATGGACAAAATGAGCCAGGACTGTTTGTAAGAATCTCTGAGCAAGCACTATGGGAGTGTGATTAGGAAGGTGCCTCCGGAGGAAGATGTGAAGCTCTGTGCCACTCCTAAGCATGCACCCCTGAGATCCCCCTTCCAGAGACAAGCTGCTGTGATGAGCTTGTTGAGCTGACAGCCTGCAGCAGCTGCACCTCCAGGATCTGCCCAGCATCTACAATCAGGCTATTCTTGCTGGGAGGCTCCAGCCAATGATAACACATGGTGGGGAACAAGAGCTGGGCCATTCCTGCCAACACAGGACTCCTTTCAGGGGCAGTCTTTGCTCTGGGGCTCTCTGATAGCTTGGCAAAGACTTCCTTAGAGCTGCCTTCAGCCAGTCCTCCTAGCTCACCTCTCTCCTTGCAGAGGTGTCAGACCTGCACCATGCATGGCCCAAACGCTCTCCCCACCAACCCCTGGTCCTTCTCCATTTGATCCTTCCCAGGCAGTCCTTCCTTGCCAAAAATCTTTCCTGCACTTCAAATTCCACCTTGGTGTCTGCTTAACAGAGGACCCTAATGACCAACTGTCAAATACAGCTGGCTGATATTATCAGGTTATTCCTTCACATTTCAGCTGAAGAAACACTTAAGATGCTTCTTGTTTAAAAAAAATTAATGAGAAATTAACATTCTAATATATGACTCCCAGAGCTGAAGAAATAAAAGTCATTTCTGAACTGCAACAGAAATCCATATTGATTTTTCTCTTTACATATCTCTATCATTGTTCCCAAGCCAGAGACTGTGAAGGACATGATTATTTATGTTCCTTCAAATTAATAGATCATTCAAATCCCTCACAGGACCTTCAACTGAAATGCTTCTAGCTCCAACAAAAGCTTTTTTTTGGGGGAGGGGGACAGAGTCTCACTCTGTCACCCAGGCTGGAGGCTGGCATGATCAAGGCTCACTACAGCCTCAATCTCCCGGGCTCAGGTGATCCTCCCACCTCAGCCTCCCAAGTAGCTGGGACTACAGGCATGTACCATTATGCCTGGTTAAATTTTGTATTTTTTTTCAGAGACAAGGTTTTGCCATGTTGCCCAGACTGGTCTTGAACTCCTGGGCTCAAGCGATTCACCCACCTCAGCCTCCCAAAGTGCTGGGATTACAGGCATGACCCACTGCACCTGGCCTCCAACAAACGTTATTTTTGTTTTTTTAAAACTATTTCTAATGTCCTCCACTCCCTTTTGGAAGAACGACATACTCCTACTCCTTTTTCTTCCCAATCAAGGCACAACCCACATGGGCTTTAGTTCTTCCTTCCCTTCATCCCATTTTACATTTCGAAATTTTCACTTATTTATTTGTATGCTTACTTGATTCAGTCATTTGGCTAAGATACTGAGCACCTACTATTTGCCAGACACAGCATGCCACACTAACATGGTTTTCTGCCCTCAGGAAATTGATACCCAAGTATCTGAGATATGAGCAAATACACAAACAGTTATTTCAGATACATGTAAGTGCTTTGAAGAAAGAAACCTGGGATGGTGTAACAGAGAGTGATGGGAGTGGGGTGGGATGAATAATTTGATAGGATACTTAAGAAACAACTTTCTAAGAAGGCAATATGGGAGCTGAGACCTGAAGGCATAAGAAGGAGACACCCTTGGCACAAGCAAAGGAAGAACTCTCCCGACAGAGGAAACAGCAAATGCATAAGCTGGGAGGGGCTGCATACCAGGCAGGCTGGTGGGAGAGGAAGGCAGCACTTCACTTCCCTTCTAGGTCCATGAGAGCTGGCCTGTGTCTGTCTTAATCAGTGTTCCAAATCTGGGTTTGCACAGCGTGGGCATGCAATATATTTCTGCTGAATGAATAAGTGAACTTCCTCTGTAGGTCAGTGTATTTTGCAGGTCTTGTCTGACTTCCCAGTTAGAGGGTAGGGTTGAAACCACACCCTGGGCATCCTGGCAACCCTCCCAGAGCCAGATATCGTTTTTCCATATGTAACAGCCTCTGCTGTCGCCTGAAGGTTTGTGTCCCCTAACCAAATTCCTATGTTGAAATCCTAATCCCCAAGTTTATGATATGAGGTGCAGTCTTTGGGAGGTAAGAGCCCTCAAGAATGGAGGATGGGATTAGTGCCCTTCCAGAAACTGAGAACTGGGAAGGAGCAATGGAAATACATATCTTTTTTTTTTTTTTTTTTTTGAGACAGAGTCTCTCTCTGTCATCCAGGCTGAAGTGTAATGGCGCAATTTTGACTCACTGCAACCTCCGCCTCGTGGGTTCAAGTGATTCTCCTGCCTCAGCCTCCCGAGTAACTGGGATTACAGGCGCCTACCACCATGCTCAGCTAATTTTTGTATTTAGTAGAGACAGGGTTTCACCATGTTGATCAGGCTGGTCTCAAACCCCTGACTTCAGGTGATCCACCCACCTTGGCTCCCAAAGTGCTGTGATTACAGGCATAAGCCACCGTGCCTGGCCCAGAACTATCTTAAAATGAAAGCCTCTATGTGGTATTTTTAGTAACCCTATTTTTCTATATTGAGTAGGTTTATTATTGTTACCTGCTGCATGACTGACCAATTTTGAGAACAGAACAATTAATCCAAAATCCTACTTGCTCCAATTGACCCCTGACAACTGGTGCTAGTTTCACTGAAAGAGAGGGGGAAGATGTTTGTTAAGCTCTATGGAGTTGGCTAATGTCTAAAGACAATCCTCCCAAAAAGGTGTGAAGATGTTTTATCACAGCTGTGGAGGTGAAGGGGAGATTTATTATGGTTACTAATGCTATTTCTGTCAACGTCTCTGGAATTCTAATTAGATTATTAAAACTCTGCAAATCATTACATTACATCTAGACTGCACACCTCACTGCGACAAGGGTACTTTTGAAATTAGAGGATCTTGATGTCATAGGTAGTGATGCAGTGCTGATAATAAAGTTGCAGGGAAATTCTTCCAATAAAAACCAGTTGGAAAAGACAGAACCCATTTATCTTACTTTCTCTCCTGGTTTTATGCCTGAGGATAAGAGGTCTGCAGCACAGAATAGTAGCCTGGCCTTTTCCATTCTAGTAGCGGCATGATGCTTGCTCACATGCTGCAAAGTTTAATAACTTGTCTGGCTACTTAAAATGCTTCCCTAGATCTGAGACGCAAACCAAACATTTATAGGTGAAAAGACAACTGAAAGAATATTTTTAGGAGAGATATGAAACAAATGGCAAGTTCAACACATAAGAACAGTACATCTTAGGGTGTTTTGATTTATAACCTATGCATTCAAACTGGTACCTGAAAAGAAACAAATTGCTTACTGTTAACCCAGACCCATTTGCAGGTAATAAATGGGCGTGCTCTTTACCCATCAAATAAGGGCTCTAATGCCCTTCAACATCAGGGGATGAGGAATGGGTGTCACCCTCTGTCCTCTGCAAGATAACCTGGTTCCTTTAGGTAGAGATCTGAGCCCTTCACCTCCCAGCAAAAGGAAGTGTATGTGGCATACTTACCATGATGTACAACACCCTTCAACCCATGGATAATAGGATCCAGTGCAGAATTGTCCCTCGGACTGACCTACATGTAAAGGAAACATGATTGGTTAAATCTATTCTGGCATCAGGCACAACAGTCTCAGTTTAATCTTCTAAAGAGAAGGGAGGGGGGAGTAGATGTTATCTAGCAAGCTGCTTAGTTCTCACATACAACATGGCTCTCACCAAATTCAGGAGATTTATGACATCATAAAATCAAGTGAGGAAGTCTAAATCAAAAGAAACTTCTCAGAATACATTATAACAGGAGACAAATACTATACTCCAAGGAAAATCTTAAAAAGCAACTGCAAGATTTTCTTCTTGCCTTGTTTTATTAAAAGTAGGTCCAATCGGCTAAAAAGTCATTGAAAGTCATAAGAGAGCAATTCATCATTGAGGGAAGATTTCAACATTTTCTGGTGATTATGTTTTTCCCTTCTTTTTAGAAAATGAACCTGTTTCCTACCAGCCTATTCTCCTTCGTAAGGATCCCAGTCCCTTGTGAAAAATCACATATTCTAAAATTTATGGAAAGCAAAAGAAGAGGGGAGAGAAGCTTGAAGAGACAGTGTCTCACACCCTCATTTCCTCCTGGGGTTTTTAATCCCCCTCAAAAGTCAAGCCTCTTCAGTCTTCCTCCCATCTCTTCTTTCCCTTAACTTTCTAATACTACTCAGCAGAACTCCTCATTCTTGCCCATTCTAGAAGATTAAAATTCTAGCAGCATATTACAATTTTGGCTTTCAAATACTTTCTTTTAGACATACAGAGATTTTTACAAATAAAATGAAATGACATTTTGAATTTGTTTCAAAATAATCCAAGAGTGAACAGCAGGGGGAGTGAGTGGGGTATACATGCCACAGGATTGACCTGAATCAATCATTTATGACCTTGGGTGGTGGGTACAGGATGGGTCATTATACAATTTTCTTCACTTTTATGTATATTTAAGTCTTTCCAAAATAAATAGTTTTTCAAAAATCTATTATCTATGGCCAGCATAGCTCCCCCCATCCCTCATTGATAGTATTTATATATAATCCACTTCTCACATAATGAAGTTGAGATATTGATGAAACTTTCACTCTGTAGCTCAATCCAATTTGATGCTTTCAGGTCAATTCAGAGGAATCAAGAGACACCCCTAGAATGAATTTTAAGGTGACTGAAAATTTTCCACATTCCTTTCTACTCTTACAAATTTTCCCTGTTGGGTTGCTGTTCCTCGTGTGTCCTCTCTGACAGTAACACACACTCCACACACTTCCAGCTCTCCTAAGCCTCAGCGTCTCCAGAAGAGAGCAGTGGTTCTCAAATGGGGGAGATATTGCCCTACCAGGGGGACATGTGACCATGTCTGGAGACAATTTTGGTTGTCACATAGCAGTGGGAGGGGAATGACAAGGGGAGGGGCTACTGACATCAAGGTAGAGGCCAGGGCTGCTGCTAAACATCCTATAATGCTCAGAATAGCTCTCTACAACATCTTATCTGGCTAAGATGTCAATGGTGCAGAGGTTGACGGTTAGAAGCCCTCATTAGATGCTCCATGAGTTAATAGTGATTACATCTTCATGTCTAGAGCCTCAATTCAGAATACAGATGCTATTAAGTACAGGATTGTGTTTATAGACTAATAAAATATGTGGAGTTTGCTACTGCATTGTAAACACTACAGATACCAAAAAAAAAAAAAAAACAAAAAAAACAAAAAAACAATCAGTGAATAGGAACCCAGTGTATCAGATCATAAAGGTGGAATTCTGGGACTTGGCATAAGTGTGCCTCCAAATTGCCTGAGAAGCTGCTCGAGCCAGGGACTGAAGCATGAAACATTCTTGAAAGGTAACCATGCACAGAATACACCAAATTAAACCTGCATTAGAAGAAACATCGTATTTGTACCATAGCAAGTAATTGATCAAAATTTTAAAACCTGGTCAAAAATGGAATTACAGCACAGGAATACAAGAGAGGAGAACCTAACCAGTAAATGTGGTCAAGTTTCAAGAGGCCAGAATAGAATAAAATAAGGATCCTAGAGAATGATTCCATATCAAATTCAAGCTATAGACAAAAAGATGGTCCCTCTGATTCAGTATGGAGATGCCAGCTTAACTACCTGCAGTTACTCTAATATCTGTGAGAAACGACAAAATGGCCACAAATTCCCTCTATCCCTGTTACATGCACCTTTATAACTTGACTTTGCCCTCCTCTATGAAAAGTATACACCAATTACTCCATTATTTGAAATTGGGCTTGTCCATATGTCTTGCTTTAGTGAATTTTAGTGAACATGATGCAGACACAAGCTCATAAAACACTTGGATTCTTTGGAATCCTGACATCAAGTGAAGAATTCCAAGTTAGCCTATTAAAGGATGAGCGATTACAAGGAGTAGACATAGGTAGTTCTAGCTAACGTTCTTCTAGACTCACCAGCCTACCACCACCAGATAGGTGAGTGAGTCCATTTGAGACCATCCACCCTCAGTGGAACCATCTGTCGTCCACAGAGATGGGCTGAACTGGCCATACCCAGAACTGAGCAGCCAACCTACTGACCCATAAAACGATTTGTTTTAACTAACTGGAATCATTTGGTACACAGCAAAATTTAACCATTAGAGTTTCTATGAGTTGTATGCAATAATAAAAAATGGGAAATAGGCTATGATAACAACAATTTTTTAAAACAATGTATCTTGCTTATGGTATGTCTTAAAAGTTTCCCAGTAATATTCCACATCACAAGATAAAGCATTTGCTGGCCACCTGATCAACTCATGTGCTCCTCCAAAAAGGTGTTATCCCTTCTCTACCATGGCAACATTTATCAGATACTATGATCTTGGATCCTGAACGAGAGGGAATATTTTACACTCGGGGGACCACTATGGTTTGAATGCATCCCCAACATTTCATGTGTTGGAAACTTAATTCCCAATGCAATAGTGTTGAGAAGCAGGACCTTTAAGAGGTGACTAGGTCATGAAGGTTCTGCCCTCATGAATAGATTATCATCATTACTGCCAGAGGGAATTTGTTATAAAAGTGAGTTTAGCCCCCTTGCAATCCCCTCCTGCTCTCTCACATTCTCTCTCTTGTTCATGTGATATGCGTTGCCATGGTTATGATGTGGCAAGAAAGCCTTGCCAGATGTCAGGGCCATTCTCTTGGACTTCTCAGACTCCAGAACCATTACCCAAACAAATTTCTGTTCATTATAAATTACCTAGTGTGGTATTCTGTGATAGCAGCACAAAAAAGACTAGGACAGGAACTTTTTAATGCATTTAGTCTCATCTGATAATATGGAGGCTCAAACACAGTGTTTCTAATCTTCCATGACTGACACACACCAATAATATTTGTAGACTATGCAAAAGGAAAACAACCAGTCAACTTAGTCCAGGTTCAATTTTTGGTCACTTCTGATTACAGCTTCTCCGTGTCTGATACTCAGACCTCACCTCATCTGAGCTCAGGAACCTGACCCCAGATTCTAAACAACTGCATAAATGTCAAGCCTTCGACAACAACCATTCAGCTCCCATTGTCTTCATTGGTGGTTAATATGGCTGGCGTTGAGAAGATGAATGAGGAGAAAAGGAGAGAAAATGAAGATTATTAGCTGGTCAAAGTAACTTACTAATAATACTGAGCTCATCCTCTGGTCTATGTCTTGGTTCCAAAACTCAGGATGGGGAATCCAAAGAGCATGCTAATAAGTGAATTTGTTCCAGTAAGGCATAACCCTAACTGAAATAATCCCTTTCACTCACTGTTTCAATCAATTTCCCACTTAAAAAAAATTCATGGGCATAAGCTAACCAATTTTGGCAGTTTTTAAATATGACAACAGTGAAGAAGGCTATATTAGCAACCTGTGTTTACATTTTATTCTTCGTCTAGGATGGAGGAGGCCAGGCATGGGGAAAATATGGAATTCTGAGTCAGGTATGGATGATTTGAGCTTTAGTGTCCTTGTCTGTGAAATGGGGATACAGTCTTATAATGTCATAAGAATTAAATGTTTAAAGCTTACAGTATAATGCTGGGTACAAATGCCACATCCAATAAAGGACGAATAACACTGGGCAACAAGTTGACCTAAACACTCGAATTTAAATGAATGACAAACAAATGAAATTTATCCCTGAGCTTGTCAACGTGCTTGGCTCTGAAAGTAATACCTCTCTGAGTTCAAATTTCAAAAGATCCAAATTTATGTTTTATTTGACATCCACTCAATTTTGTAATATGCTGTTCCTTTTAAAGCCACATGAGAAGTGATCATGGCTCTTGAAATTTGCTTCCTTCCACTTTAAGATCAAAGGAGTTATGCAGTAATATGGAGAAGGCAGCAATTGCACAAATGAGCTTAAAATGGACTAGAAGAAACAGACACCCACCCCCTTTCCCTGCAGAGTTCATACTCTCATTGCAAAACTTCGCTCCTGGCACTTCCACTTCAGAGCAGCTTTCGTGGCATTAGTCATCTTCAAAAGGATGGCACACAAACTCGACAGAGGGCTCTGAATTAAAGCTTTTCAGTGTCTTTAGATATAACCAAAGTATATAGAGACACTGACAATACAGAAAACCATGAAACGTAGGTTTGGGCTAAAGGCCAAATTCATATAAATGCTCATGGAATCTAAACTTCGTAACATTTTCTTTCCAATTAATAGCTCACCATAAGGATCCACGTAATTATCAAATTAGTAGCCACACTATCAATAATCTCTAGAGATATGTTTATCTGGAGGCTCTACAGGAGGGCCTGTGTTTACTCTTGCTTGAAGTAAAATGAAAAGGAAGCAGAGAGACCCCATCAGATGACATGTGTCTGCGTTCAGATATGTGCTGCCATTTACTTCTACTGCCCCCATGCCATTTGGCCCTTGAGTTGGATCCTAATAATTTTCTGTCAAGTCCTAGCCATCTGCTAAATAGGATGATCAAGACAACCTACTTGCCTTGAATCCGATACCACCAGCTGCTCCTTCAGTACCATAAACATTACACCCA